GGCAATGGTGCCCTATATTATGATGGCGATAAAGTAACGGCCGAGAGCCAAGGATACAACGAGCAAGCCTCCACGAAAGAGAGAAAAACACAGAAAACACAGACTGCAAATACTCAAAAAGAAAAAAAGAGAAAGGGAAAAAAAGAAAAAGAAAGAAGAAGAAAGCACAGTTGAGTCACAGTTGAGTCACGACTCCAAGTCCAAGCCTAGATGCTGGCTAACCATAAAAATAAACCTTTAAAAGTCTCTTGAATGATCTATGGCAGGCGAGGGACTTGAACTCTTGGGGCAGGGCGTTCCATAATTTAACAGCAGAAACGAGCGGCCGACAGTCACCAGAGACTCGCCTGGTGGCAGGGACAACATACGCATTTGGATCGTTGATCCGAGTGACGCCTTCAGTCTGGCGACGTAGGCGCTTGGACAGGAGATTACTAATTCTGGCGGTGTGGATACGAAGCATGAGGAGGCGGAGTTTACAGTGGGCGTTTTGGATGATGGGGATGAGGCCTAGACGGGTGTAGATGGGATCTGTGTGGGAGGGGAATGGCTGGTTGGCAACGCAGCGGATACATCGCTTGTCGAGGACCGAAAGCTGATGCCGTTGGTGCGCAGAGAGAACCGAGAAGAAGGCATTAGATCCATACAACATGTCCGGTAGTATTAACGATCTGTAAAATAGCAGGGCTTGTTGCTCAGTTAAGCAGGAGCGAATGGCTCGCAGCGCCGTCAGTTTCTGGAGGTCTTCCGTGTAATAGTTGCAACTTGAGTCTCCCACCGAAGCTGGGTGTCGAGATGTAAACCTAGATATCGAGCATTTGTGGTCTGAGCTAGGGAATTTCCATTGCATTCTATGTTAAGTAACAAGGGCTGCCTGCGAGACGCATGAAGGGCTAGAACGTGGGTTTTGGAGGGATTTAGTATTAAGCCTCTTTCTTCCAGAAAGTTGGCCAGGTTGGAGACTGAACGGGAGAGGGTTAAATTCAAGAATTCGACGGATTGACTGATGGCGTCTAGCAGGATATCATCAGCAAACAGCTGTGAGTGGGCTGGAGCTGTGATCTGTTCTATTTCCATTGTGTAGATGGAGAATAAAAGAGGACCCAGCACACTTCCCTGAGGAACACCACACTCACAGGGAGAGAGGGCGGACGACTGGCCATTGCTCAGGACGACTCGCTGACGGCGGTCAGTTAGGTAGCTCATGAACCAACTGAGAGCCGTTGAGGTAATACCAAGCTGAAATAGATCTGTAACCAAAATTTGGTGTTTGACCTTATCGAAGGCCTTGCTCATATTGACAAGTACAAGACCTGTATGGCGCTGCTGATCCGCTGCCTCCAAGTATCTGTCTACAGCCAATGTCAGGGCATCTTCTGTGGAGTGAAGTGGGCGATATGCCAACTGGTTTGCGGGGAACAAGGAATTTCCGGAGAGGAACTTACAGAGTCTCGTGTGGACTACCCGTTCTAGGACTTTGGAAACTATTGGTAATAACGATATTGATCTATAGTTCTTAGCGACAGCTTTGTCGCCTGACTTGAAGAGGGGACGAACATCCGCAATCTTCAGAGATGCAGGAACAACACCAGAAGCCAGAGATGCATTGATTAGTATGGTGAGGGACGGTGCAAGGACAGGAGAACAGTGTTTGAGGATTGCAGCTGGAACCTGGTCGCTGCCTGCAGCTTTGCGCACGTCGATGTTGGAGAGCAGCTTAGCGATCTCTTGCACACTTGCTGGAGCAAATTCTTCGAGGCATTCCTTCTTCGTGGGACCCAATGGGGCTGAGAGACGTAGTGGTCTAGTTGGGTCTGACACAACACCGCTGAATTGGTCACTGAGCTGTGAGACACTGACGGCTGGTGGAACTGAGGACTTGTTACGACCGCTGAGGTAGTTGATGGTCTGCCAGGTTTTTCGTGCGTTGGCCTGACTAGCAGCAAGAAGGTCCCTAAAGTAGATGGCTCGGAGATGTCGTGACATACGCTTGGCTTCGTCTTGGGCAGAAGTGAAGACATTGCGTAGTGCCGGGTCTGCAGGTGATGCTTTCCACCGTCGATGGGCCGCGTCACGTCGCTGGACTAGGTCATGTAGAGCTGGCGTCTTCCAGGGGAAGGATTTCCGGGTAGGAGCTCTTGGGCGGTGTAGACGGATAGGAGCATGAGTGTTCAAGGCCGCGACAAGTTTCTCCAGCCACATATCCCACATTTCATCTTCTGTCCGCGCAAAGCAGAAGTTCTCTAGATCGCTATTTAGAAGGTGGTGTGCAAATTGACCCATATCAATTCTTGCAATGTTACGGCCACGTCGCACGGTCGGTGTGCAGGACGTTGTGAGTCGCAAATCAAGTGCCAGAGCGAAGTGGTCACTGATTGTACAAGGTACTACGACACAAGAGTTCACATGATCGTCTCCGACCAGAGCGAGATCCAGGGTTGTTTGGCTGCCTTGGGGTCCAATTCTGGTAGGACTGTCCACTTGGTTCTTGATGTCGAAA